GCAAATTAAATTCTGTAGCTACAGATGGCGCTCCATCAATGACCGGGAAAAACAAGTGCTTGTAGCATTACTAAGAAAAAAAAAAAAAACTTAGTGAAATTCACGGTTCAAACATTCATCATATGCATTGTATTATACATCAAGAAGTTCTATGCACGAAAGTAATAAATATGAGAATTTTTTGTCATTTATAAAAAAAGTTATAAATTTATAAGATCTCGAGTTTAAATCAGCGTCAATTTACTGCTTTCTAAGTGAGTTAGATAGTGAATATTCGGGTTTGTCCTACTATACCGAGGTACGTTGGTTATCTTGCTCCAAGATTCTCAAAAAATTCTGGGATTTGAAAGAAGAAATTGTCATTTTTTAAAAACGAAAAATCAGACGTAAGTTTTGTTTTACGATCCCAAATGGATCAAGATTTATCTTTCTTGTTGATATAACCAAACACTTAACCAATTAAATTTATCGTTACAAGGAAAAGATCATATCATTACGAACAGTTTGACATAATTAAGCATTCAAATGTCAACTAGTTCTTTGGGAAAAACAACTTAAAAATGAAGATTCGACGCACTTCCCGACGTGCAGCATGAACAAATCAAGTTTATATGATACTTGTTCGTATCAAAAATACGCAGAAAAAATTGCAAATTTAACAACTGAATTTGAAACGAGGTTTAATGATTTTAGTTCCCTCGAAGACAAATTTTTTTTTTTGTTTTCTTCGATTTTCTCAATACGTATTGACTCAGTACCCAGCCATATGCAAATGGAGGTGATCGAGATTTAATACAACTCAAATTTGAAAGCAAAATTCATTGAAGTGGGCGTGCCTGAATTTACAATATTTACCAGCCAGGTTTAAAATACTCGAAAATTCGCATATGAAATTATTTCCATGTTTGGTAGCACTTATCGGTGCGAGCAGTTATTTTCAGTCATGAAAGGTAATAAGTCTTCTATTAGAAACCGTATTAATAATGCTCACCTTGGGTCAGAGTTGAAAGTTATCACTGCAAACAAAATTTTCTCCCGAAATAGGAAAGATAATAGCAGAGAAGAGATGTCAAGTATCAGGACGTAAACATTAAATTTTTCTTGTTCTTTTCTATATAAATTATATTATATATATATGTTTATTATTGTATTATTCGAAATAAAATCTACGTTTCTATGAATATTGATTTTTTTTTATTTTTTTTTTATTTTTTTTTTTTTTTTGCGGCCCGCCTAAAGTTAAACCTTGTTTGTTTGGCCCAAGTTTGACAGTTTATGAGTTTGACATCCCTGTTCTAGCACCTTGTTATTTTGGCATTTATTTTATATTTTATTACCCGTTCATTGATGAACGGTATGATTTTGTTTAGACTATATTCTCTCAAAGATGGTGAAAGCTGAATACACGCAGTACTGTATTCGGTAAGTAGGTAAGATTGCTTATTTCTATCAAACTGTTTTCATATTTGCAAGTTCAGAACTAGTTTATTTTCCGTTTAATTCAACTTATTAGAATGGTGTTCGGAATTCGGGTTTCAGATTTAAATGTAGTATTTTGAATGGAAGTTCATCAAACTTTGGTTAGCTAAAGACGTATTGCAATCCAGATACATTAATGTTTCAGCTAGGAGATATTCTCTAGACCAGCGGTTCTCAACCTTTCGACTAACGCGTACCATCTACACAAAAATTGAAAAACTTTAGTACCACCACTAGAAAAAAAAATATTTTACCTTTTGCACAACCTATTGGCTATTTGTATTAAACATGCACATATAAAAAATATTAGATTAAAATTAGTTGCCATTTTAATTATCAAAATTTGAGTTATATTGCTTTAATTCTAAAATGTAGTATTTCTTTATGTCTGGTCTTGTTTCACTTAGTTTTAACCGTAAGTTCAATTCCTTTTTTAATTGTGTTCTTTATTCATTTTTCAAATATAACATAGCAGAAAATATTTATTCACACAAATAAATTGAGCAAAAAGCAATAAAAAATTAACAGCTTTATTTGAAATGCCTTTAAATTTTGTTTCTCGGTTCGGCCAAAAGTTAACAAGCATGTTATTTTTGAAATCTTCTGTTAAAGTTCAATCACAGGAAATTTCTCTTTATCTTCATCAATTGCTCTTTATCTTCAGGAGATAAAATTTCAGGTACGTTTATATAAAATGGATTTCTAATACAATTTTCGTTTCCATAATCCTAGGGAAAATATATGACGAAATTAGTTTTCAATGAGAAAGAATGATTTTTTAATGTCAGATGCTAATTCATCTTTTATTTCAAGTTATTTTTGGTTAAAAATCTTTCTAAAAGTGGTAAAAAGCTTAAAATATTATTATCCAATTCTTTGATTATTAGCTCGAGGTTTTACTTCCTTGTACTGCTCAGATCGCATACATTTATGAGTGTTAGAGAAAAAAATTCATATTGTAACAACTAGGAGTTAGTATCAGTATGAAATTAATGGACGGTTCAGAGTGAGAAAATGGACACCCCTTGAACAGACATCATGCAGGAAATGCAGATAATATACGGGGAAAAAATTATGTTTTCGAATTCTGTGCAAGAAACAGGTTTCAGAATCACATGTCTCTCACTAAAATATTTATTTTACTTTTTATAAGTATATTCTCGAACTCTTCATTTCTCGAAAATGTGTTTTTAATAAACTCCACTTTGTGTAAATACGGCATGATTTCACAAACAAAGTTGCGTAAATGAGAGAATTTTCTTGAATGAAAGACTTTTAATGTACACTTAGAAAACCGTGGTTCTTCACAAATATTGCGTATCTTCGAATGTATTTTTAAATAAATACGTTGTGTTTCTTTATACTTAGAAAGTGAAATTTGTAATCGAATTTTTTTATATGCTTGATATGCAGTTTCCATTTTCATTTCTTTTCATATTATTTTTCAGATAAATACGTTTATCTCAAAATACGTTTTATCTCAAAATATTTTCATTACAAATAAAATATGGATGAATAAAAAATATAAAACAGTATACTATTATGAAACTTCACATTTTAAAAATATTTCAAGAATTAAGGTGGTAAATGTTTAGCGCCTATTCTTTAAATAACAAATTTATTCAAAACGTTTTTAATTGTTTGTGCTATAGCTGCAAACAAACTTAAGGTTATGTTTACTTATAAGGTTCATTTGCACAGTCTTTTGATAAAATAAAAATCATTCACTTATATACCACAGACAAAATATAATGAAACTAAAGTGCTATAGGAGCTTGATACTGTATTATATAAACTGTTAACGGATCTTCTAATGTTGACGAAGATATATACAGATGAAAGTGCAAAATACTCTGGCATCAGGTGAAGCAGAAAAAAAGGGAAATAAACTCAAATCATATGATAAAAAGGAATGTCTTTTAAAAATTTTAGGATATTAATATAGGTATTTCTTCCAATTAGTTTGATTATATTAATATTCATAGAGTTTAAATGATGAACACATTTTAATTGAAAGCAGTACAACAGGTTAAAATGTGATTCACTGAAACGGCAACATTGCAAGTAGCACAAATCGGTTCACCATCTCCATTCAAGAGATAATGATGTGTTAATCTTTTGTGACCTACGAAATATGGCAAATTTTCAAGATTTGCTGCCTAATAGGGTTTTAAGTTTTTTCAGTGTTCATAAAATGTATATGTAAGACCTTATACCGTATTGCTATCCGTGTTATTTGTGGAGGCATTTGAGTTTCCATACCTGTTATTACAAGCAGATAAAGAATCAACATAGAGGAAACTGTAATTTCACTGGAAACAATAACTTGTAATTAGTTTACAATTTTAAGTGCGGTCCAAATTTGAAATCTGTTCATGAAGCTGATCGTTTCAAACAAAATACATTATGCTTACCTGACAGTAATTTCAATAAGGTTTAACAACATACCTATACCTTTTGCCTATTAAGCTGAACACTTACCTTAGGGCATGTTGATCAAGTTGGCATAAAAGATAAACATGAACAAAAATAATCAAAATAAGTACAAGTACAATTTTCCCAAACTTTAGATATTCCACTTACCTCAAAAACATTACATATTGTATAATAAACACAGTATGTAAAGACAAATAAATAATTTTAATCAAAGTTTTTAGATTTCCTTCATCAGGAAACCGTCCTAAGTTTTTTGTATAATTTTTTATAGATTTAACAGAGATTATCCAACAAGAATTATAAATTAAACTTAATTTTTGTATGCATATTTAACTAATGAAGTAAAAATCAATTCTTATATACTTTTAAACAGTTTTTGATGATTTATATAGCAAGGCAAAGTTTTGGATTGATAGAAATTTAAAACAAATATCTATATAATAGTACCTTTTTACCTTACTTTTAGCCGAGGCTTCCTTTTCCCCAATATTGCTCAAAAATCATACCTACCGATAACTTTCCATTTCAGTCGCAGAGTAAGAAACTCATAGCACGTAAACTAAGGCCTAAAGGTCAGATATTTAATGACATGCTATTAATTAACTATGACTATGTAATTTTTCTCATTGCTTTAAATAGAATCCGAGATATAGTCAAGAACAATTAATTGCATAACATCCATAAACAGTATTTTATAGCTGCATAAAATTTTCAATACCTAATTTTAAAATTTATGTGCTACAATATAGTAATAAAATGATTATTATCATGAGTATGTGTATTAAATTAAATGTATGTATTATAATTTTAAAAACTTGTAGCCACTATGTACCGTTTTTCTCTTTGAATGATTTATGCATATTAAACTAATAAGTTCTGATTAACTGAGAAATTTATTTTAAATGTAAATTCTTTTAAACAGAATACTTTTTCAAAGCAACTGGGAGGTAATAAGAAATTAAATCTTAATAAAAATGCGTCTAATTAGGATAGTTATTTGAAAATCGTATATGGAAGTTTTCTTTGATTTCATACCTATAATAATTTATAGCTGAATAAAGTTAAAAGTGTAATTTATAAAATACCTGGAAACATTCCAGCTCCGTTTGTTCCAAAAAGCTTTTCTAGCTATATTTCTTTATTTTAAGCTCTGACGCAAACTTCCAGGAATACGTTCCAAATCCTAAAGAGAAAGAAAAATAATTAACAGCAACTTTAATTTAAATGCAGCATAAATCATCTGAGTTTGTAACTTTGAAACATGGTTGAGAAATCGATATATATCTGGAGACACTGATGTAATTTATCAAAACAAATACCCATTTGAGTTTGACATATTCGAATCTCTGATGCTTAGCTATTGATTCCTGTACCAATGCTCCAAGCAACAAACCTTTATTCAGTTTCATTACATACTAACATTGAATAACGAAATACAAATGGATGCTTAAATCCAATTCTGAGGCGCCAAATCTTCACGAAATAATTAGTCCCTCTAAAATTTAAAAGCCGAAGATATCTTAAGTGAGTTTGCTGTAGTCTCCATTTAAAACTTCAATTCTTAAAAGTCTACATATGTAGTATTTGAGAATCTCAAAACTACATTAATGTAAAATATCACGTTGATACATTATCATCATGGTCTAACGTGGAATCGAAAAAATAATGGAAACTTGCTATATGTATAAAAATAGGAATGAAGATGAATTCAAAGTTTACAGTTGAACCCGTTCTTATTTTTTTTTCAATGTGAAACAAATTGCATATATAACAAATTAACAATGACTTGAGTCTAGTTAATGATTTTCTGATAATAAAGTATATATTTGGTGGGGATAAGCATTCATCACTAAATTCGTGATTTTAATATGTACCAAAAATCAAACAGCAAACTAGCATTAAAAATGAATGAATATTTCTGTGATATAGGATTAACAAGATATAATTAATTTTACTCAGCTGTAATGTATTTTGAATTTCTCAGTAAGGTTAATTATAACTTGCAACAAAATAGCATTGTAGCCTAAACTGGCTGGCTTTATGGAAAGTGTCTGAAATATTTGTTACACAATGCTTTAGAATGTGAAGCCTGCCCATTTGTATAATACTTCTACAGAGGCATAAGAATCAAATCTACTATTTACATGAAGTTTAATAAGCTGAAACACTCTGGTGTTCGAAATTAATTTTGGATTATAATAAGGATAATAAAGGATAATGAATGATGAATAAATAATGCATGGGATAATGAAGGATTACTATAAAACTCAAATTAAAAGTTTACTGCAGAACATGTAGAAATGGTACATACACATTTACACAGATATGTACTTTGAAGTGCTGGTCAAATAATGGTGATAATGCCAAATAATGAGCAAAATTCAACAACTAAATTACATAATATCCATTTCCAAAGACATAATTATTTAACAGGGTGTATAAGTAACAGAAATGCAAACTTTACAGAGTCTTTTCATATTATTAACTAGACTGTCAGGTAATCCTGTGGGATCTAACGCCCTTTTTATAAAAGGTTAGATATGAGCTCTTGCAAGCTCTTAGAAACAAGCTAGTGTGATGCAGCTCGTTGATCTAAGACATTTTGTACGTGCTTCTGTAAGATTGACGTAAAGTGAAAATAGTAGTGGAGATTTACTTATTTTGACTAATAGTTATTTTTTAATTAAAACAACTTTCCTTTCACTCTCCTTTTTACCCACACTTTCCTGCCAGAATGTTAATCCAGTTAGCGCGCGTTTATTCAGATTAACGAAGAAAGAAGTGCTATTTAAGCGAAGGATTCTGAAGGTGTTTTTAGAGCGTGTTATGCCTTCTTGAAGACCATATTGTTACTTAATAGCTCTAAATTCCAGGGTCTGCGCAAGTGAAAATATATCCAGAATTACAATTTAAAGCGCCATGGACTGGAGGGTAACGCAAGGCGGCGTCCAGACAAGTTTACCTTCCAGGTGTTAAGACAAATTTTTTCGGATGATCGTAATGTTGGCTGCCATCTTGTTGTTTCTTGTCACACGAATTTAAGCGATTATTCGCTTATCAGTTCTTAAGATTTTTCACGTTCAGCTGTAAATTAGCATTTACAAAGTGAGGAACTCCACAACGTTTTCCTATATTTGCTAAATGATGTACGAAATGTTAATACGAAATTAACCGCATAATTTCTTTAATAATTTTCATCCGTTTTTGCACATGATGAATTCAGTTAAATTAAGATGACCTTATTATCCTATGGTATCTATGCTACATTCGTTCCCCTTTGACTGTTTTTAACTGTTTTAATTTTATATTCCATTTGCCAATGAAGTCTGAGTTTACTGTACATATAATTGTACAGGCATAAGGAGCAGTACGTCTCTGTTTGATCATGAAATTAATTTATTAAGAAACTAAAAAATACACAATGCATCTTTATTTGCAGGCAGAAATTTGAATCGAAATAAACTCAAGTTTAGAGTAATAATTAAAATTTTCTTAAACTTTCTTTATTGGGAATAAATTAAATAATTGTGATCTACATGATTCGTAGAAATCTTTTACAAAGTAAATTCAGATTAGGTATGTGGAATGTAGAGGGAATTAACGTCAGGCTGGCTTTCACACAAATTGAAATTTTAAGTTGTGGTTAAAATTGACTTCTCAGGGACAGCTCTTACTTGGGACAAATAACTTTCCCTGGTGTAGATGTTAAAATCAACATTCAGGTCAAAACACCTCTGAGAACCATCATCCTTAATCATATTCTAGACAGCACGGTAAATTGTCCAGCGAGAGAGCAGTCTATCAACTAATCAATTATGATGGCGATACTCTGTGAGTTTGATAACTCATTTATCTGCCTGTTCTTTCATTTTCACGATCAACAGAGCACGCAGACTGGGGATAAAAAGAAACGAAAGGACAAAATTAAAAAAAAATCTGAAATCTTTTAGCCAATCTGAATGCCAAAGGGGCGTTTTTTAACGTTTTGTGTGTTACATTTCTTTATTAAATATAATTTTCTTCCATAAAATTCAAATTAAACCATAAAATTCAACAGGTTATTATTTATTGCAATTTTAAAATGAGCGTATTAAAGATACGCTTTCCGATACACAGTCTCGAGAGGAATTTCCGATACACAGTCTCGAGGGCTGGAGATAAAAGTGGTTTTTTTTTTTTTTTTTTTTTTTTTTTTTTTTTTTTTTTTTTTTCAGTTACAGTGTTGCCATTCCTCTCTTTGAAATCGTTCAGTTTGTTAATCAAAAGTTCTTCAATGTCTGACAAAATATTAAACAGATAATGAAACTTCCAAATTCCAAATTAGGACTTACAAATGCCCATATTCGGTGGCGGATTACGTTATTTAAAATCTGATGGCTCTACGTGCCGTTGTTTTATCACAATACGAGAAACATGCATATATTTATGCAGACTGTTCCTTATTTAATTTCTCTAAATATAATACAGGACTGCAATATTTGGTAGTAACAGTTTGAAAAGTGAATCAACGCAAAATGCCAAAACGAAATTAATCGCCCTTCTGGGCTAAAAATAACAATTACTTTCAATAAAGTATATAAAATTAGATTTTCGGTATTCATGCTTATTCCGTTCAATCTGTGAAAACATTTAAAAATACCATAGGATCGGGTTACATTGAAATAGGAGTAGATAAAAAATGAGCAATGCCTTCGCCGGTACTGAAACCTGGACCTCTCGAATACGCACCGAGTGTACTACTGGTTACACCACGAAGACATGCAGAAAGGAGGAAGAAAATGCCTTATAATTTGGTCCCGCTGGGACAAGGCGGATTGGGTCTCCCTCGAATAGTTCACGAATAGTTCACCTTATAATTTGTCGATCAGTTTGGCTGTTGGTGATAAATTCTAACCATTATTCTATCTATATTTTATTACTTTAAGCATTATTGCTTTTCCTTCTTTAAAGTTTTATGATCAATGCCTAGTTCTAAATTCTCTCCAATGAATCGCATCTTACTTGAATCAATTTGTGATCAGAATTCAGGATATGAATTCCTGAAGAGAAATTTCAGATGAGATGGGTAGTAACTCCATTACAAAGATATTTTTACGCTTTGGTCTTCTCAAAAGCATACTAATTAGTATCTTTACTCATAACGGCATTCACATTTCGCTTCTCAGTTATAGAATATTTTAGCCATAATATAAAACGATCGTTCTAACGATGATCTTTTGAGGGTACATAATACATTTTTAAATAACACCGAAATTCTAAAGCGTAACATCTAAAATCGTTTCACACGCAATGAATGCTTCTTTCCTGAAAACTTCTGGAATGATCTGATTTATAGATTAACTATGCGTTGTCTTCAGTCCGCTTAAGAATTAATCGCTTAATAAATATTATGCGCTTACACTAAACAGGAAGTATATTTTCTAGTCCCAGAATAAGAGTTCATTGGTCTCAACTTGTAGAGCCATTAGGTTATTTCGAAGTAGAAGAGATGAAAATGAGCAATGCCCTCGCAGGGATTCGAACCACGAACTTCTCGAATACGCGTCGAGCGTGCTGACCACTACACCACGAAGGCATGCTAAGAAGGCGAGAGAAATACCTTATAAACTAAATCACGATAATATTTAAAAAAATTTAGAATCGACAATTATGCTTTTTAAGTAAACAGCTGTAAGCTGTAAAGGTTTTACACATTACAGATGACGACTTCGAATGGGATTCCAACGTTAGACTTTCACCACCGTGGAAGAGTGTCCTATCCCTGCGCTCTCTATACGTTTCGGCAGGATAAGTGTTCATTATGAGAAAAGAGGTAATTTGTGAACTACCGAGATATCCTAAGCAACAAAACTAGTCCTGGAGACTAAGTCTATTTTGTTATGAAACGTCGCGTTCTAAAACATAATAAGTGTTTAATGTGTCTAAACAAAATACTCAGGCTGTTAACTTAGTAATGATTATTTATTTTTTTAAATTATCAAAAGCTTTATAGAGTTTTGCTCTCGTAGATAGCATACACTAAACTGTAAAAGAGTGTATGAGGAATGTATCCCCATGTCCTAATACAACAGAAACGTCAGAAGAGCGGTGTAAAAAACCCTTTATTCAATCAAATATAACTGAACAGATGACCCCACTTGGGCTTCCATAAAGCCAACACTTTTGGCTTAAATCAAACAAGTA